CTCCTATGCTTCCGGAGGATTTCTACCCGGAGAAGACAGACCCTGAGCAGATCCTGTGGGTGTCCTGGGCAGTCCTGCTGGTCGGCGTGCTCATCATAGGCATGGCCATGGGATGGGCCCTTGAGAGAAGATTTCAGAGATGCTGGAAAGAGGTGAGGCAGGGCTGGGGGGGTCAGGGAGGCGGGATGGGGCAGACCTTGAGGGCCTCTTGGGCACCCTTTGGCCAATGCCCTGCAGCAGAAGGGGCCTGAGCTCCTGGCTGGGGAATCTGGCCCAGGGGCTGAGCCCCATGGACAGCACCAAGCAGAGGCGGCCAGAGCTCTGCCTCTTGCAGCCTCTTCCCCGGGGCAGCCCAGCCCAACTGAGCCCGAGTCTCTGTCTCCGAGGCCAAAGGCAGCCCCACTTTGTGGGTGCCGGCCCCGCTCTGCCCCTCTGCCTCTTCCATGGGGATCCCTGCGCTTTGCCTTGCAGCGGAATCTCCGGAGCCCTTCAGGCCGTGCAGAGCCCCGCCGCCATCGAAGACACGGCTGTCCAAAGAAGTTGATGCAGCTGCTGAGGCACAACCGTGACTTGATGCGGTTGTGCCTTCGCTCTCAGCCGAGACCAACAACCAAGACGGCGGCAAAAGAGGGCATTGGCAGGAGACTCCGCACCTCCCCGCAGCTCTGACCTCCAGTGCGGCACTCTGTCTTCAGAACATTACGGGGAATGTGTGACCAGTGCCCAGCCCAGGCACTGCGACGTTCCCCATCTTAGAAGTTAGCCACACCCCTGTTGTTAGTTGTAGGATTCCCCACCACGTTTCCCCCAAGAAGTTGACCTTTCCCTTAGTGTTCAATTCTAAACAGTTGAAGTATTGAAGTATTTTAGGCTTAAGATTCTTACCCCATAGTCTTCAAGTAACGTTGTAGTGTAGATTTTAGAAGTAGTCAAGTGAATAAAGTTCACGTTTTCTACACGTTGCTGTGTCATTTTCTTGATGTTGCACCTGAGACCTGGGGACTCCTTGAGAGATGGGTTTGCATGGCAGCTCCAGACTGCCTGCAATGGAGAGCCCGAGTGCCCCAGCAGGGTTTGCAAGAGTATGGAGGGCAGCGGGAAAGAAGAAGGTGGCCAATATTCACCTGCCTCCACCTTCCAAGGAAGCTTGGAGTCAAACCCTGTCTGCACCTCAGGGGGGACCCTAAAGGCCCCGGCAGGCATCAGGATGGCCCCAGGACGGGGGGCTCGCAGGACTCTGGGGCACCATGAAAGGAGCAGGATCATCCCTGGAATGCTGGGAGAGAAATGCAGAGACGTCTCCCCTGGGATCCAGGCAAGGGCTGAATTCAGGCAGGCAATTAGATCCACAGGCTGCCTGGGCTATGGCAGCTATCAGTCCTGCTTCATAGATTTCTGGGGCGGGTTTATCTATATAGATCTGTATTTAGTTCTTTCTATTTATCCTGTTGACCTTCCAAATAGGATTAGATTTCATTTGCCTACAAAACATCCGTTTTTTGATTTGTAGGAATCAACCATCTGTGCTCCCAGTTTCAATGACTTCTCTCTAACTTATTCTGCATCTTGCTCCTTTACAGCACCATCAAATACCTCTGTTAAAATACAGACCATCAGTGGAAGGACGACAGTTTTGTTGCTTTCTGAAGAAAGTTAACTTTGATGACATATCTACTTTTAAAAATCCCATAGGAATAAAACTTACAGATCAGCTTTAGAATTTCAGAAGCTGGTTCCTCAACTCTTCCACACCACTTTACTTTTTGGGGACATTCAGCAGCAATAGCAAACAAGCACAGCAAAGAAATGGAAGAAGAAATGCAGATCATCAGCAGCAGACCACCTAGCAAAATCCATTTTAAATACAGCTCCAAGTTCTCAAAGAGCAAGTGTGAAGTGTAAATGGAGACACTCACACCAAATTACTACCAGTTGGTACTTTTGACATTTCCACTGGCTTTCCTCTTCACTTTTTTATCTCTCACCTAAGGGAAGAGAAAAAAACCCAAACAAACACAACCTTTCAGGCAGAGAAAAGATGTGGTTGCTCTTGAAGAAAGCATTTGATTCTGCCTGTAGAAGAACCTGTTGGGAAAAATAGTAGCTTTTAGCAAAATGCCACTGTGCTCTTGCACTTGTTCTACCCCTGTGAGAAAGAACAGGCACGTCTGTAAGGCTCCTGCAGCTCACCCTGGCTGAGGGTCATTGACCACTTATCACTGCAGGGGTCACTGGTAATAACGATGGTGGAAAATGTGGAGGGAGCTGGATAAATAAATGCTTGCCATTGCCTTAGCAGAAAAAAACCCCATCAAAAACAACCCACCCTCAAAACAAAGCAATGAAAACAGTTTGCCTCTGAATGAAAAGAACTTCAATTAACTATATGATGTCTGCTTTTGGTTCAGCATTCATCAATCTGAATTTGAATATGCATAGGGTAATTCAAGGTAACTGAAGCTTAAAGATCATGTCTATTTACTTGTGCATAGCCTATACTGAAGCACATTAAAAAGCCGTGTTTTGCTTCAAATCTGCGCGGTATTAACTTCATTCGCTCTTATACTCACTAGATAATTAAATACATGAAGAAACAGATTTTTTTTTTTTCATTAAGAATGCATTATTAATTAGGAAGGCACGGCTTTAGCAGAGTCTGCTGATACCAACATTACTCAGCTAAGTTGAAAGTATTAACACAAGAACTTGATGACAGAAGCAATGGTCATCAGAGCCTCAACAATAAAGTTGCAGTTCCAAGTTTTTCAGATGTCCTACACTTGCTAAGGCATCTCCAGAAAGAGGAGACAACTGAAAATAGCACAGGAAATTTGAAACCCATTTCTCTTTTGGTTTTGTTTTTTTTCTGAACTTTCTTGTGGGCAACAGAAAACTCCTAATATGTGGAATGAAATGTAGTTTTTATGCCAGAGTCATGAGTCATCCCCTCAGTTCCAACCTGATCCAATGGTCACTTGAATCTTGGAAAGGGTCAAATCAGCAATATGAAATTTCAATTGTATTCATGAAAGTAGCTCTTTTTTCTCCATTCCCCTCCCTCTCCCAAATACATCAACACCAAGTGAGAAAAGCTCAATTTGAAAGATAATTATTACAGAGCTAAACTTGGACATAGCTAGTTTGCTACAAGTTCCAGCAGATAGAGAAACGAGAGCAGAATCAGAGGTTATCAAACTCAATATAAAATCCAGCTCATGCTTTCCCCAAAAGCCTCGTTTAATTTATCCAGGATTAAAAATTAAAGAAAAATGAAAAAATCACATAAAAGCATTTCACATAGTATGTGAAATACTATCATTTCCACCTGAAATATTCATCATTATTATGTTTTCCCATAGTAAATTACAAAGTCTTTTGCACCCATCTTCCCAATAATATCTGATTCTAAGTGCTTGCTAGTTTAATCCCTTAGGAAGCAAAAGTAGCCCCAAGTGTCTCTGGACAAACAGAATATCTGATTCTAAGTGCTTGCTAGTTTAATCCCTTAGGAAGCAAAAGTAGCCCCAAGTGTCTCTGGACAAACAGAAACTAAACAATAAATCTTGACAAAGTATATTAAATTGTCAAAAAACTCAATAAAGATTTTCCATTCCAGAGATAGCTATCACCAGCTTATGAATTTTGCTAGGGCAGGTTTAGTGAAGAAAAACTAGGTCTTTATTACCAAATCAGTTAGGAGTTGTTCTACCGTACTGCTGGTAGGATGGGAGTACAAACACCATATTCTTCACAGCCTCATCCACAAAGAATTCCACCTTAAAATTAAGGCTGAAACACCATATTCTTCACAGCCTCATCCACAAAGAATTCCACCTTAAAATTAAGGCTGCTTTGGAGTTTGAGCAAACAAATGAAAATTCACTCATAAAACACAGTGCTGGCAGCATGGTCAGTCTTTGTGTAATAGACAGAAACTCTTTTGTTCGCCTAAATATATAGATATGATATGATGCTTTGCAAAATGTACTTTGGGTGTAAAATCGGGAAGAGGTTGAAGGCCGCTAACTTGCTGAGGCTGGCATAATAATTAACAGCCTAGCAGAGAGTCCTGGAATGCTAGGACAAGATAAACCTTGAAGGGAAAACAGTGAGAAAAGGTCAGCAGAGTAAGAGTGAGGAAGACTTGGAGCCTTCATCTTACGACCACCAGAGAGCAGAAAAAGACCCTCTAATAACCAGAGACGCATGCGCAAAGACGCTGGAGAAAGGACAGGTGTCATGGAGTTACTTTACCTTTAAGGGAGTTGGAGTTGCTGGGAAGTGCTTGGAGTCTTTTCTCCTGACCAATTATCGGTCATTACTGGGAATTGACAGCAGTTTAGGCCATTGAAAAGTGGGATCAACTTGTGAACCCTACCTTAAAATATAAAAGCAGAGCTCTCTGGGTTCTCTTTGTTTTCTGGCTGTGGAGGGTGGCGGAGCTCCAGGCCTCCCGTTCCCTGCCCAGGCCATGCGGCCGGGCGGGGATGGGGCCGGGCCTGCCCCGTCTCCCGGCCGGGAGATGGGGGGGCCTGGGGAAGGTTTTCCTCGGGCCGGGCCGAGCCGATCTCTGGCTCGGCTGCAGGTTTTGCTGTAACTACATTCACTAGAAACTGCCCAGTGAAGAAAGAGGGAGGCTCTGGACTTGCACCGGGTTGGAGCAGTGACCACACGCTCCAGAGCAGCCATGAGGAACCTTCCGTCGCAGACGGCTCCAGCTCCTGTTCGGCAGAGATCTCTGAACCATCTACAAAAGCCTGGGCAAGATTTTAACTCTTTCATTACCCAGATGAGACTTGCAGATTAATCTTTTTATCCAGAGAGAGAGAGAGAGATCAACATGAAAAGAGACTTTATAAACTACCAGTGACAGGAAAGAAAAGAAGCTTCAGGAAAGGAGAGAATTAAGAAGATGCTTTAATTAAGCTGAAATATCTTTCTGTTAAAACTATGGAGATGGACAATGAAGTCCTGAAAAGAACTCCTTTAATTCATGATACAGTATCTAGAGAGGAATAAAGTGTTCAAAGTGTAAATTTGAGTAAAGAGTAATTATAGTATAGTGAAGTGCTGGGAGATTTGAAGCCTTGAGAGGCAATGAGAAAACTGTTTTCTGGTGAAGCTCACAGAAACAGATGAAGACTTTTTTTTTTGCCTTTGAATAACTTATCCTTAAAAATGCTATCTCTAGACTCATGGCCCATACATACTTCAGAGTGATGTGAAAATGGGAGGAGTGAACTCTAATAATAGCAGCTCTGAGCAGCTAACATTAGGGCAATAGAAAACTATAACAAAAATAGTTTTCTTGTGAGAAACTCCATAAATTAACAGGAAGAAACTTCTGTTTCTCTATAAAGACTGGTGAAAAGACTAGCAAGAATTAAGACTGTTTTAACCATCAAAGATCCAGAGTTTTTGTCTCTGTTGTCATGTGAACAAGGGAATAATGGGTAGATAGGGGATGGAAAGGTTTTTCTGGAAGTTTATTCTGGTGTTCTTATTATTGTGGTTTGTCAATAAACTTTCTTTTTTTTCCCTTTTAAGTTGTATGCCTGTTTTGCTCTTGTTCTAATCCATATCTCACAGCAAGAAGTAAGTAATTTTCTTAGTTATTGGTTTAAAACCACGACAACACGTAACCTGGAAGTCGAGACAAATAAAAGGAGAAACGCGGAAGCGGGAAGCGGCGGCAGTTTCGTGGAGAAGAGATTTTTTCTTCTCCCTGTCGCCTGGCGCCGACTTTTGCTTATTGCTGGCTTGCTGTAATTAATAAAACCTTTCCTTATATATCTCTCTATAGTGCATTCACAACAAATTTGGTCCCGTGACTCGGATGCAATCTGCAGGACGGATTCTCAGCACTACCGGTGGGCGCCCCGCTTTAATATTCAGCGGTCCGGAGGACCAGTTCCTGCCTCAGTTGCACCGACGAACCTAAATTTAAGGCAATAAGCA